AGCAGCAGCAGCAGCAGCAGCAGCAGCAGCAGCAGCAGCAGCAGCAGTTCTCTGCCCGTAGCGCTTTGTCACTTACTAGTCCCACTTGCCTGTTGCACTCCCTCCAAGTCAAACTTCCACCTCTGGCTCACACTCTGGCATCTTAAAACAGAGTGACTTGACTTAAGTAAGAGTAGGGTTTTGCTGATGCTTGATGCCGCATCTGGTTTGTTTTTTCTAGCTTGGGTCACGTAGTGTTTCCCTATCTGATCCCTCCTGCAGTGTCTTGTAAAGCTGGAAAGGCTGGTTTGGTTTGAATAACATTAACGAAAAAATGCCTCTGGCTTGGAAATCAAACTGAAGGTCTTGGGTTTGACCCTTGCCTCACTTGGTTTGTAATTATTTATTTTACACCATGTGACAAGGAAAAAATAAATCAATAACCCTCAAAGATACTCCTTTGAACTCTTGCAATATCTAGAGATCAGCTTTGCCACTGCATGGAAATTAGAGGTTTAAATAAAACACGAAAATACCACTTTCTTTTTATTTCTTATTTTAGATTCCTTTAGCTCTCTGTTTACTCTAGATTTCTTTCATATTAAATGTTTTATAATATTTGACATTTATCATTGCACAAACTACCTCATTTGAGCCTCAGAACAATAATGTAAAGCAGCTCATTTTACAGATTAGGAAAACTGACTTTGGGTATCTAAGTGAATGTCACACACTAAGTGTAAGAGGAAGAATTTGAAATCATGTTTTCTGAAATCCAAGTTCTTTGCTCTAGCCCCTATGCTCAATGACTCTACATTCAGCTTACAACAGCACCAGCTTTAATATCATGTCCAACTATTTTACTTGATCTTTGTGTTCCAATTTAATAAAATATAGAAATTGTACCATGGTCTGAGAAAACCAAAGCGGCAATGGTTTGCAATTGATGTCCACGGTTGCCATGAATAGGAAACAGAATAGGCTTCTTTCTCCTTTGGTCATCTCCTCTCCCAGAAGGAGGTGAAATAAGAACTAACTGATTTGGACAGATGCCAGAGGAAAGGGAAGGGAAAATGAGGGTGTGAGGTACCAATATAAGTGGCTTACCAGCCCTTTCCAGCGGTTGTTGTGGCTTCTTTTGTCTGGTTGTCCCCCATGGCCCAACAAAATGATTCTCTGCACCTCTTGTGTCTTTACCAGCATCTTCTTTTAATACCAAGTACTTGTCATGGGTTCTTGTGAACTATAGTTGGATTTTTAAAAAGAGAAAGAAACTTTCCTGTGTGGCACAACCCCATGTCAATATCACCAAGAAAGAACAGTATAGCTACATATTTTAAGATTGCTTTATGTGTGCAAATGATTATTTTTCCATCTTGCTCTCATGATCCCCTTTTCAGCCTCATTAATCTCTCCCCACCTCTCCCAATGGCTATAAATTAGGGGAGAAGAATGAAATAGAACATTACTAAGCTATAAGAAATTATGAACATTAGAAAGACAGGGGATTTTGGAAATCTTTGCATTATCTGATGCAAAGTAAATTACAGCCAAGAAAACAATTTGTACTTTATTACCACAACCACAAAGCAATCAAAAGTGAATTATGAAAATTACAAGGAACCAACATGACTCCAAACATGAGGTATGAAAAGACACTGTCTCCCCACTCCTTCACAGGGGTGGGAGGTCCCCAGGAATGATACACTGCAAATGTTTTCAGACTTTTTCAATGTATTGCTGTTTTGCTAATTTTTGTTTCTTTTTTGCTTTAAATATATTGTTTGTTATATAGGATAACTCCCTAGGATGTGATGTTTAAAAAAAAGATATAAATGAAAATTTATTGTTTACAAAATGTTCCCACCTCTGACTGAAAAGTAGATGGCTGCCTAAATGCTTTTTTCAAACACTTAACTATCTATATGATCCTGGGCAAGTCACTTAACTTCTCAGTATCAGGCCTGTGAATAAGTGTTTGTTGTTGTTTGTCCTTCATTCTAGAAGAGGACCATGACTTCCGGAAGGTGATGCCATGACTTGCTAATGAATTGGATTTAGTCGAGGGAGGGCATAGGTGATCTTGTGATGAAAGCATGACTGGTTCCTTTAGCCTCTAACAAAGCTATGTTCCACTCCCAATTCTCAGTATTTCTCCCCAAGTGCTTGACTTGTGCTTTCAATGTCCATTTATTTGGGGAATCTGAGAGAAGAGATAACTGCCCAAATGTTCAAAGATTTTAAAAGATTTGAATTTTTTAAATGGCTAACATCCAAGGCTAGCTTTTCTAAACATCCTACTATAGTTACATTCTTATCCCAGCTGAGTTTTTTAGAGTATGAGGAAATTCTTAGTTTCTCTGTCTCTCTGAGAATCTCCTTTCTCTAAAGAGATAGATAGTTACAGCAGCAAGGATAAATATATGGACTTCTCATGTTTACTAAGGTCAAATCTAACTCATTTTTTTCTCCTTGTTGGGGATTAGGGATTGGGGTATTGGAGATTCTTCTCCAGTAATTTCTGGCAAGAAAATAGAGGAACCCTGGAATACCTGGCTCCCATCTGCTTACCCTATCTTTTATAAGTTTGCCCAGCAGGAAGAACCATACTCCAGCCTTAGAAAGAGTCACCCAACTACCGCCCCCATTGTAATACACAATCAGTGTTGAGTAAATTGTAAAGAATGTCCATTTGGTTTTTTTACAGTAACCAGATCACATCTTGCTCAAAAGCAGACCAGTAGAAATGTTATTAAAGGAAGACTGAAGACACAGAAACACATGTGGCCACAGTGAAACTCCTCTAAAAAAGTATACCTACTGCCACATCTCCCTTACAGATCTTAGAGGAGTCTTACATACCTTGAGTGTAACGGATGATTTGGCACATGTACAGATACCATCAGTTTGCTAAGATGGTATCAACTACATGGAAAATACTGGAGAACTGTTTCTGGGGCTGGAGCACTGGTGCATATATGGACATTCTGCACCAGCCTACCATGTGGTAGGGGGAGTCTTTTTCCACTGGCTATGTTGCCAAAACTGTCAGCATCTTCAAGAATGGCCGGTCATGGTTTTTGTAGTAGTAGTAGTAATAGTAGTAGTAGTAGCAGTAGTAGTCATTGTCGTCATCATCGTCGTAGTAACATCATTTATATAGCACCTACTATGTGCCAGGTGCTTTACAAATATTATCTCATTTGATCCTCACAACAACTTTGAGAGGTAAGTGCTAATATTATCCCCATTTTACAGTTGAGGAAACTGAGGCAAACAGAGGTAAAATGACTTGCCCAAAATTGCATATATAGTAAGTGTTTGAGGATAGGTTTTAACTCAGGTCTTCTTGACTCCAGGTCCAGTGTTCTAACCATTGTTCCACCTAGCTGTCCATTTGTGAAGTAGATGATTCCTTCACCCATGCCACATGAGGAAAAGCCTTAGAGCTTCTTTCTTCTTCCTCTGAGGCCATGTGGCTCCAAGAAATGGGCTTGGGTCTTTGATCTTTTTTTTATTCATTCCTTTCCATTGTACAGTCTTGGAATTGAACATTCAATCCCATTTGGGAACTCAAGCCACAGGGATAAAGGAGTCCACAAATCCAAGGTCAATTATTGCCTAGTGCAAAGTCTTGAGGAGCAAAGACTACAGTCAGCAATAATTCTGGCTTTGGACATCAACTTGGTGGGATCCATGCTATGTAGAAACTGAGGTATATTCTGAGCCAAATCCCACCCAACCATTCCTTACCCACACAGAAGTGATAAAGGAAGAATTACACTCCTGAGATTTGGGTGGGGTTGAATGTTTGTATGTTTGTTCTTGCTATGTCTTTGAGGTAAATATCATTGCTGGTGGATGCTTGAGCCAATGAAAGAGAAAAGGAAGTAAATACCAACCCCTTCCGGTTACCTGAGAACCCTGAGTGGGGTAAAATGATAAAATGTAACAGGCCTGATTGAGAGAGACAGACAGACAGACAGACAGAGAGATGGGGGGGGGCAAGAGTCAACCATGTTACATCAGAAAAAAATGACTAGTTTTTATTAGCATTGAAACTAGGCTAATATTGTATTTCAGTGTTGCTGAAGAATGTTATCAGGGTCTAGACTTTAACAAAAACTGTGTTTTATTGCCTAGTGCGAAGAAAAGGATAGAGAAAGAACTTTAAAATATACAAAGAGGAAGATGAGGAATATACACCTCCTATTTTTGTATGAAATGAAGGAGTTTCTCAGATGAAGTCATTCATGAAAAGGAAAACTAGAGGAGGTTTGGCCTGACCCTTGCTTTGCTTCTTCACTTTCCCCTTTGAAGGTACTTCAACTTCAAAGATATTGCTGTCTAATAAATAGTTCTGCAAATGCAGAGTCAGCAATCAGGTCTTCCAAGCAAAACTTCCCAGAAGGGGCACTGGTCACAAACTTAGAAATCTGTGGGACAAAGGGGAGAAACCGAAGCACAAAGGGTATGGGAATTAACACAGATGCTGTTAGAGACCTGGAATAAGGTGACTCAGTCAGGAAATCTGGAAAGCAGGTTATAGTGTATCTCTTTGGTTGTCACATTGTGTTCAGGTAGAACTTCCCAGATAGAATGGAGGTAAGATGATGTGTCCATTCTAGGTTCCTTTTTCTTTGGTCCAATGGAGCACATTGGAGCAAAACAAGAGACAGTGATGTTCAGTGTCAATGGTGAATAATAATCATGTGATGGCCCTGGCTGGACATAGTAATATTGGTGATTAGCAAAACCTGAATGCATTCCTCCAATAGGGATGATGAACCTAATGATGATTCTTCCTACTGATGGGCCTGGTTTTCTAGTTGAAGGTTTGGGCAAGAGAAGTTAGGCATTCAGGGTAGAACTTCTGATGCTTGTCGACGATCAAACAGTGCATTTCAGTAGTGCCTGACTATTGCTAGTGCAGTCTCATCTTCAAAGTCAATAAGCATTTATTACAT